AGTCTTTTCTCTTCCAGTAACTTCCAACTCTTATAGTGGTTGCTTGCAGCCTTGTTGGAAGTGAAGATGTTAAAAAAAAAAAAAAATATATATATATATATATATATATATATTATATATATATATATATATATATATATATAATATATATATATATATATATATATATATATATATATATATATATATATATATATATATATATATATATATATATATATATATAATTACTATTTACTGCATAAGGAACCTTCGGGTTGTGTTACACTCGCATAGCCCAACTAATGATTCATACAACAATGTGTAACCTGTTTACTTTGCAAATATGTTACAAGCCTCAGGCATTTTACAGCGGGTAATTAAGAATCAAAAGGTGCATACTGATATACATTTGTATCTATCTATTTGTATATATATATATATATATATATATATATATATATTATATATATATATATATATATTATATATATATATATATATATATATATATATATATATATAATATATATATATATTATATATATATATATACATATTATATATATCTATAAAAATAACTATATAAGAATTATTGTAAATAATTATATTATTCTTATATTATATTAACTTCCTAAAATATTGCTTCTTGCACCCACATGTTCAACACTCTGAACCTCGTAGATCTTTTTTGAATCCGCACATTATTCTATATTTAACTTAGCTGAAATCTGATATTCTATTTAAAGCGATTAGACGAAAAACTAAGCCAAAGGCTTACTTATAGGTTTTTTCAAAATGAAAACAATAAATAAATTTTTAAAAAGGCTTACTTATTTTTAAAAGGCTTACTTATTCAAATATCTGGGGCTTTCCAATATGGCGATTTAGGCGTCAAAAAATTCAAAATTTTGTACAGAGTTGCGCTATCCAGTTATTATAGAGATCAGTGATTTAAGCTCTAAAAATATTTAATATTTGAAATTTTATTAGACAATTTTATTGGTTAAATTTTTATTGCTGATAAAGTAGTAACACCACAACTAAAATATTAATTTGATAAATTAACAAATATAATCTTGTTATCAAAAAAAAATCTAATATTGAGTAAAAGTCAAATTTAAAAGATTATAAAAAAAAAATATTTAATTTAAATTTTATTTTTTATTATTACGCTCTGCTGCTTTTTATGTTTATATTTACTAAAAGGAAAGTCAAATGTTGCTGGTTTAAAAGACCTGGATGTCTCGTGTATGTTTTTCATGTTACTTTGGCCGTATATTTAATTTTTTTGTTTTTATTTACATTATAAAAATAATGCAAAATTTACGTTTACAAAATCCTTTTTTAAAAAAAAACTTTCTTAGAGCATTAAACATGTTGGATAACTATGAAAATCGTTTTGGATACACATTAGCGTTTGGATTAACTGTCACCATGTGCGTTTCAATTGTTTTAGATGATTATGCTCCTATTATTGGGCCAAAGATGGCTGCAACAATAACAAACTTACCACGCACCATGAAATGGTTATCAGGTATTTGTTTTTGTGATAACGTATCCTAAACCATTGTTTTTATTTAAATTAACTACATTCCTAACTAATGCTATAATTATTATAATTATCAACAACAACATCAACAGCAATAATAACAACATCGAAAACATCGACAGCAACAACAACATCAACAACAAAAAACAACAACAATACCAACAACAAAAACAACAACAACACAATCAACAACAACGATAGCAACAGCAACAACAACATCAACAACATCAACAACAACAATAACAACAATAACAACAACAACAACAATAACAACAACGACAGCAACAACAACAAAAACACCGGCAAAAAAAACAATAACAGAAAAAGTAACGTGACAAATTTAGGATATATTGATTTTTAAAATAATATTTAAGGTTAGATCAAAGTCGAAACTTTTAAACTTGATACTGATTTTCAAATAAAAGAGAAAAAAAGATGTTGATCAGAGTTAAATCTGTCCTGACCCTGAATTAATTTCATCTTCTTTTCCTTTATATGACAAAAGATCAATTTTAACGTTCATCCTATACAGAGCATTTGCTACAATATTAAGAAGTCCAGGGTTCAATGCCTGCTTAAATTACGCCACGCTATGGGGGGAGGGGTTGTTGGTTTTGTGACGACTCATACAAAACTTGATTCTTAAGTATTACAATTTTGTGATGAGGGGGGGGGGGAGGTCAGAATTGGTCAAAAATTGCGTGACGTAATTTATGGACCAATTATTTGCACTATTTTAAACTCGATAAAAAAACCACAAACTTCCGACCTTGTACATTAACTGCCAAGTATTAAATGCCTATTTAATACATGGCAGAATAAACTCTCATAGTTCAATTATTTCAAAAAACCATAAGATCTCCACAAAATAGATAATAATAATAAAAAAAAGAATGAAAAAGGAAAGGGTAAATTACATTATGTTGCGTGCCGCTTTGGTAGGGTGAGCATTCAGAGTTTGTACTTGTCTTTTTAATAAATAGTTACTTTTAAGTTCTTGTAATAATATTCTTGTCAGAAAATTTTTCTGTGTAATCATAAAGTAAGTGCGAAGAAATCTGAAAAAAAACGGCATCTCAACCAACTAATGGAATCTATTTAATAAATTATTATCTTACTCATAATCATTTAATCTGAGTTTTATTATTTAATATTTAAATTTTTACTGAGAATTTATTATTTAAATTGTTTCTAAAACGTCCAATAATTAACTCGTAACAAACAACACAATAACTTGAATACGAGGATCGCTATGATTGGCTATGAGGATTGTTAAAGAAGTAATCGATTAGTTGGAGGCAACTTATATCTGAGTAGACAATGATTTGACAAAAAGAACGCCCGCTAGTGTTCGTCCAACCGCCTGCTAGAGTTACCGAAATAATGATTTTTTTATTTTTTCAAGGAATTTTTTTCTAACTAGCTTCAAGCAACTACAATTTCAACTAACCACATGTAATAAGTCAAAATTTGGAGTTTACAAAAAAAAAGAAATAAGAATAATTACATGAAAAAGGAAACTCCAAAAGGAACGACATTTGATAAAAACAACGAATAAACGATTTTTAGCAAGAAAAAACAGTTACAAAAAAGGATTATGCTAAAAGACAAGTCATTCGAGATTAAGAATTGTTAAAAAAAAGGGATGAAAAATGTATAGACCATATATGTACTACTCTCCTTTATGAGATTGCATTAGTACATCCAAGTGCAGTTAATACTGAGAGTATTAAAACTACACTAAGGAAGAGACTACACTAAAGCTACACTATCTTTGGATTAGGGTGGGTCGTACTTACTATTTTTGGATTAGGGTGGGTCGTACTTTTTTAAATTTTGGATAAAGAAGCGCGCAAAATATATTTTTTCATGTATTAGGATATTAAAAGACATGTGAAAATTTTTTTATTAAAAAGTAAGGGAGCTGAGCGTTTGAAAAATATCAGTTTTACTAAAAACTCATCAGGCTTCGGTCTTTATTTATATTAGCCTAGATAGATAATTCAATTATCAAAAAACAATTAGGCTTAATGAAATAAAAATAAACAATTATCAAAAAACAATTAGGCTTAAAGAAATAAAAATAAAACATAATATTTGTTGCTGCTTTTCTTAATGCCATACAAATATGAGAGAAATTCGAAAAATTATCTACAAATATGGATTTTATAATAAAATATCAATGATATAATATATCATAGGCTCACAAAAAAACTTTTATAAGTATTTTATAATTATTTAAATGTGTTTTTGAATTATCTTTCATTTATTGGGAACTTTTGACATGCATTTTTAACTTTTATTCCATACACTGGCTTCAGCTTTTGCCCTTTTTACAAATGGCGGACTATATTTATATACAAAAAAAGCGGCTTCATTTTTCATTTAATAAAATTCCGCAAGTAAGACGTCTAGTTTATATAATAATATTATATAAACTAGACGTCTAGTTTATATAATAATATTATATAAACTATTAATTAAAATATAAACTATTAGTTAAAAATGCATGTCAAAAAGTTCCCAATAAATTAAAGATAATTCAAAAATACTTAAATAATTATAAAATACTTATAAAAGTTTTTTTGTGAGCCTATGTTTATTAAAAAGTATTATAATTGATAAAAATGCGTTTAAAAATTCTTGATCATTTAAAAGATAATCCTTAGTCTTAATTTTTCCATCAATAAAATTAATTTTTGATTTACTATGATACCCAATCGCACACCAAATCAATACACTTCCGACACACACATGAAGTCGTTGCTGTATTACTGGTTCTTTATGCAAATCGTGAAAATAATAATTCTATCTATCCTGCCCATTAAGACGAAATTGTTTTTCATTAGAAAATAGAATTTGTTGCGAGTTACGTTAAAATTAATTTTTTTTTAATTGTTATTTAGTGTTGCAAACCCTTTGCTTTCATATACAATAAAAATTAGTTTTTAAATACAAATGTCCCAGTAGGCACAGACGTAAATAAGACGTCTTTTAAACGTCTTATAAACGTTTTGGACGTTTTTTGAACGTCTTTTGAACGTTCAAAAGACGTCTTTTTTTGGTCCGGTGCCCACTGGGGTATAGTAGAATTTTATAAATCTTTTTGGGGTGTCTTTTCATTATGTTGCGCAGTATAGCAATCATAAATAATTATTTCACTTTTTGGATCGAAGTTAGACATCTAGTTTAAATAATAAATTATTGTAAAATATATAAATAAAAATGTTAGAAATGGTAGCACGCGTAATATTTTAGTTATGCAATATGATATTGGAAGAAACGTGAATAATTTTTTTTTTCTTCTCAAACTTTTTGAAGGTTTTAAAATTTATTAGTCCCAAATAAACTGTTATCAAAAAGATACAATTGTTGTGTACAACCTATTTAACGCTAAATTTATTTACTGTGATCATAAATAATATCCCACAGCAGGAGAAAGCAAATAAAAAAAATTGTATTGCCTAAATTAATTTAAAAAGATCTTGGTTCACGGACATGAATTCTTGATGAGCTAATGTTGCTCTGATGAACCCATCTCTTCTATCTTTTCCAAATACCGATTGAGTAGCTGTAATGACTTCTTGAACACAATTTTCAAAAAGCTTGTCCATGAACAAAAAAACAAGGTACATACATCGGAGTATCATTAAATTTTAAAAGGTAACTCTTTAACAATAACAATGTAAGTAAAGGTTCGTGTACATCGAAACTTCAATTTGTTAGATCAAATCGTGAACTTCTTACATTAGTGTTTCCGTATTCTGAATTTCCTCTTAATTTTAAAGTTATTTTAAATGCGAATTCTCTTTCTGTTTTTTCTAGGCTACTTAACAATGCATAATGAATATTTTCATTATGAGCAATGTCTTTAACTTTAAGTCTTTGATGACAAAGAAGTTTTAATTGCTTGATTATATGCTTAGGCCCTTTAGTCCACTTTACTTTGATTTCAAACCAAAAATACTCCACCAGAATTCGAAGATTATATGTTTCTTTAACTAAAAGTGCAACTACTGAGCACCAAAGTAAACATATTCTATTTGCAAAATTTAACCATCTTGCATGCGAATGCTATCTTTATGCTATCTTTGACTTTGAAGCTAGTAACCTTACCTATAAGTTTTCCAATAGAATCAGAAAAGTTGTTTTTTGATGCAGTTTTTCCGTCAAGCTGAATCATAAGATGTCGGAGAGATAGTTCATTATTGTGAAAAGCACAAATTATCCACATTAATTTTTTATCCATTTTGTGTTCAAGGTAGTGGATAACACCTCTTTTCCAACCAGTGTTTAAATTTGTTGAGTTCACACCAATGGCAACTAAAGAGTCTCCAACAACATGACCCAGAATCTATTATTAAAAATTATCAGCTATTTCCTTAGCTGCAGTTTAACTCTTTCTTCATAACTGTTAGTGAAATCAAATTAGTATTTACCTCCATGTATCTTCTTTTCTCATGTACTTAGTTTAACGTCCATCAAAAAAATACACTGAATATTATTCATTGCCGCTTTTTCAGCTCTACCTCGGATTTCATTCATTACCTTAAAATTTTCTATTTAAAAAAACTAATTGACACATTTGATACTTAGATCTAAGGCGATAGTTTATCATAAAAATTTTTTTATAGCTTGATGATAGCAAATAATTGCAAATTCCTTATAAATTATGCATACTTTCAAAAATAAGCCATTCACTATGTACACTGCCACCAGCAAATAATGAGAAAATTTTAGCAAGTTCTGTTAGGATAATCTTTTATGCTTGCTGACCACAAGATATACCTGGTATACCTGACTAGATAGGTATATTTTGTTCATTTTTTGTTTGTTTGTTTCATTTGTTGAGTTGTTCATTTTTGTAATCTTTTTGAATGGTTTGAGGAGTATGATTCTTTCATACATAAATTAAGTTAAAACAGTTTGACACAAAAGTCAACAAATAATGCGTGCTGTGACACACCCTAGCCACAAATGAAACA